GTAGGAGGATCTCATTGCCTACCCCCAACAGTGACACACTTCCTCCAACAAGGCCACGCCTCCTAATAGTGCCACTCCCTGGGCCAAGCATATTCAAAACACCACAGAGTTAATGTTTTATTTCTATATACACATGCAGCAAAAACTTGTCAGATCCAGTCTCCCTCTGTTCACCTTCTCCAGATACTCCCTCTAACTTCTTCATTGCTATTCTACGTTCACAACAACTTTTCCCCAAACGTTCTGTAGAAGAACGTGAGGTGCTTATCTTTCTGTGTTTGCTTAATTTGATTTAATGTGATATGCTTCAATTTCATCTAGTTTTGCTGTAAATGACATGATTTTGATTTTCTTTTTGGCTAAATAATACTCCATTGTGATATATACCACAATTTCTTCATTTCATCCAACTATTGATGGGCACAGAGGCTGATTCCATATCTTGACTGCTGTAACAGTGTAAAAGTGAACATGACTGTGAAGGAAGGTATCTCCTTCTGTTTGACTTTATTTCCTTTGGATTCACAGACAACAGTAGGATATCTGGATCACGAGGTAGGTTTGGTTTTTTTTCTTTTCTTTTTTTAAAACCTGCTGTACTGTTCTCCATAACAGCTGACCAATTCACGTCTGTTCCATAAGAGTTTCCCTTTCTCCGTATTCTTTTGTTATTTTTGGTGTTTGTTTATATATCATACCCCTTCTAGTTGGGGTGAAATGGTTTCTTATTGATGTAATGCTTTTTACTATATTGGTGACTGGTGACATTGACTAATATTTTTCCTTTGTATATTTGTTGAACATGTATATTTCCCACTGAGAAGTGTAGGTTCATATCATTAGCCCATTTTTTTTTTTTTTTTTTTGGTTTGGTTTTTCGAGACAGGGTTTCTCTGTGTAGCCCTGGCTGTCCTGGAACTCATTCTGTAGACCAGGTTGGCCTCAAACTCAGAAATCTGCTTGCTTCTGCCTCCCCAGTGCTGGGATTAAAGGTGTGTGCCACTACTGCCCTGCTTTTTTTTTTTTTCCATCTTCAGGTCTTACACGTGGGTACGTGGGTCTCCAATCCATTTGGAGTTGAGTTTTGTATGCGATGAGAAATTAGGGCCAATCTTCTATCTTCTGCATAGGTATACCCCATTTCTCCAGCGCCAGCAGTTGGCGAGGTCTTCTTTTTACTAATGTGTATTTCTGGCACCTTTGTGAAGAAGCTGCTGGTAGGAGTTTCTAATCTGTGCCATCACTGTCTTTCTTTTTTTTTTCTTTTTCCCAGTACCATGTTGTTTTGGTTACTATTCCAGCCTTACCAATTCTTGTGCAACAGACCTCAGAAGACGGAAACCAGTTGGTAAACTTGGCATAGAGTTACAAAAAAACCATAAGACTAGAATACGAGTTTCGTGAAGGAAGTGTCTTGGCTTCCCTTATTGAGGAGTGTATCCCAGGGGCCTCAAACAGACCCTTCAGTGCACATTTGTTTCAGAAAGTTATAAATGGGCTTGAGAAGTCATCTGACCCTTCTTGCCTCAGGTGAGCAGTATGTGTGCCTTCTCCCTATGATGTGATGATGGTGGCAGGCTATGGTCACGTCTCATTCTGTGTTAGAGCCAGGCTGGCTGCACCTAACCTTCTGTCATGACTGGCTGCTTCTGGTCCCTGTTTTGATCTATCTTTCAGTATGAGATGTTTTAGGTGTCCAAGGCTTTATATCCTCTGTTAGAACAGCTCGAATCTATGGTTGAGTGAGAACAGCCAGCCACATGTGCAAGCAGATGAGTACCCCGATGCTCCCAAAGCAAGCAGTGCCGAGAACTGGGTTTAGGCTTAGATTTTTTTCAAAACCTACTTTAATAAGGGTTCTTAAACACTTTAGCCTTCCTTCTAGCCCACCACCCAGCAGAGGTAGCGGAAACCAGAAACTTCCACTTCAGCTGGGGACAGGCTGTAGTTCATCCACAGGATTAGCTTCTCATTTTCTTTCTTCAGTGCCCCTTTCAAGACTGTTTGTGGAGCAAATATATATATATATATATATATATATATATATATATATATATATATA